TTAAGATTCTCTCTTTGTCTTGAACCTTTTGCATTTTGATGATGATGTGTCTTGGCATGGGCCTCTTGGGGTTCATCTTGTTTGGGGCTCTCTGTGCTTCCTGGACTTGTATGTCTGTTTCCTTCACCAAGTTAGGAAAGTTTTCTGCCATTATTGTTTCAAACAGGTTTTCAATTTCTTGTTCTCGCTCTTCTCCTTCTGGCACCCCCAAGATGCGAATGTTGGCACACTTGAAGTTGTCCCAGAGGCTCCTTACATTCTCCTCATTTTTTTGGATTCTTTTTTCTTTTTGCTGTTCTGATTGGGCATTTTTTGCTTCCTTATATTCCAAATTGATGGTTTGCTCCTTGGATTTACGTACTCTACTATTGAATCTGTGTAAATTATTCTTTATTTCAGTTAATGCCTCCTTCATTTCTGACTGTGCATCCATGATTTCTGACTGGTCCTTTTTTATGCTCTTGAGGCCCTCACTAAGTTCACTGAGCATCCTTATAAGCAGTATTTTGAACTCAGCCTCTGTTAGGTTGCTTATCTCCATTTCGCTTAGTTCTTTTCTTGGGGTTTTGTTCTGTTCTTTCATTTGGGACCTGTTTCTTTGTCTCCTCATTTTGGCTGCCTCCTGTGTTTGTTTCTGTGTATTACTTAACACCAGGTATGAGGCTAGCTGAGACCAGATGCTACTTGTTTGAAAGAATTTAGGAAAACCTGAAGCAGGATCCAAGACAGGCCAATCTTGTGGTAAAGCAACTGGCAACAGCTTGGGTGGGCCTGAAAGTTGGGTGGGACAGGGCCTCAGGGGATCACTGGGGCGGGGCTCCCAGTATGAGCCAGGTTGCTGGAGTCCCAGATATGGCTTCTGTCTGCTGCCCCAGGGAAGGGCTCACCAAAGGAACAAAGGCCTATGACCGCACGTTTGTTCCTGAGAAAGCCCCCTCTCCAGCCCTCACTCCAGTGCCAAACAGCTCAGTTCTTCCCTCTATGTCTCTGGTGCCCCTCAAGCTGCCTCCCCTCCAAGCTTAGAGAGAGAGAGTTCGATAAGTTTGTGCGCGGGCCCTTTAAGGAGCTGCCTGGGGCTCCATCCGCATCAGCTTCCCTGAGCCTCAGTTCCCACTGGTTTTTCCAGCCAGAAGTTGTGGGGACTTCTCTTCCTGGCACTGGAACCCTGAGTGGAGTACCTGGTGTGGGACCGGGACCCCTCACTCCACAGGGAGGATCTTCCCAGCCAAGGTGTCCTCCTGATATTTATCCGCCACATGTGTGTGTGGGACAAGCCCATCGAGCCTCCGCCCCTCCTACCAGTCTCTATGTGGCTGCTGCTTTAATTTTGTAGTTGTAGGACTTCCGTTCAGCTTGATTTCAGGCTGTTTTGAATGATGGTTGTTCTGTAGTTTAGTTGTAACTTTGATGTGTTTGTGGGAGGAGGCAATACCTCGTTTACCTACACCACCATCTTGACCAGAAGTCTAAAAGAAAATTATTTGAAAATACGTAGAATATATTTAAAGATGAACATTTAAGGTAAAATTTTGCATAAATTTTTAAACCATTGCTCGCAAATAAATGAACATTACCCATAATGCTTATACATGATTTACCCCTTCCAATTCAAAATTTTCTAAGTGCTGAAACTTTAAAGTATCAGACTTTTTTCACTAGACCTCATTATGCCTTTAGAAACATTATTTTTGGCAATTGATCTGTTCTGATGGAATCAACTCTATTTGAAATGCTATTTGAAAATGGAAAGAACATTTTCCCTTCCTTTTTTTCCTTATTTTTAAATTTTTCTTTTTTTTGTTTTTGAGGTGGATTGATATAGATTATTTGTTTACAGACTTTTTGACCATGACCCACATTTACATCACAATGCAGAAGACTTGTGTGTGTGTGTGTGTACCTACATTTATATAAGATCTACTTCAAAAGTAATGCCTATCCTTAGTATATGTAATGTATTCATAAGTCTCTCTCTTTTTTTAATGCTATTCTTGACCCATGAAATTGATTTTATAATTCACCAGTGGTCTGCAATTTACAGTTTAAAAAACTGATCTAGACCAAAATCAGGCTGCTGATTAGCATTGTTTTAACAATAATGACTGGCCTGGAAAAGTTTTTAGGAGCATTTACTTAAAGGAGCATGGAATTGAATGTGAAAAGGGAATATCATTCTGTTGGATATAATTTACATTTTTATTAGAAAGAGTGTTGGTTTTATTTATAAGCTGATTGTTAAGAGCTTAACTCTTCATCTTTCCTCTCTGAGTCTAAACAATTCTAATAAGTTGTATTTAGCCTGGATATCTGAATTATTAAAAACAAACATTCTAACTTAGTCAAATTTGGAAAACAGTATCTTAGTTAATATTTGATGCTTAAAGGAGGGGGATGGGAGTGGGAAGAAGGGGGGTCAATGGGGAAAAACGGGGACATCTGTAATACTTTCAACAATAAAAAATATTTGATGCATGGGAATAAGGATACATTTCACTTTTGTGAAAGGAAAAGGTTTTCGTTTGGATATTTTCACATAAAAGAAGGATTTGTATCAGGTGTAATAGTTCTTGAAGTTGGTAGCAAAGCAATTTATAATCATATTGGAAGTGAAAATGTAGGAGTCACTTATCTACCTTAAGTTTCAATAAAACTCCAGATCTGTATGAAATTGCCATTATGCTATTTTCTCACTGTTTTTGAAAAAATGTTTAATGAAAGATAATTTGGGGTAGTTGTTTCACTTTTCCCAGTTTTATTTGCCTATACATATAAAGATACTGCCTAGTAAAACAATACTTTGCATTTATGTAAACTTTAAAATAAAAAAATGTCTTAATGTTACAAATAAAAATAAATGTAAATGTGATAAAAGCTATCAAAGAAACTATTAGATTTTGAGAGACCCAGGTAATTTAGGTTGAAGGATCAGAATAGGCCTCACTGAGGAAACCATTTTTATTTTATTTTATTTCTTTTATCCTCACCCGAGGACATTTTCCCATTTTTTGTTCAGATAGAGTGGGAAGGAGAGAGAGAGAGAGAGAGAGAGAGAGAGAGAGAGAGAGAGAGAGAGAGAGAGAGAAACAGCGACGTGAAAGGGACACATCGAGTGGTTGCCGCCACCCACATGACCCAACCAGGGCCGGGAACAAACTGCAACCGAGGTACGTGCCCTTAGCGGAAACCAAACCCTGGTCTCTCTGGACCGCAGGCCAACGCTCCAACCACTGAGCCAAACTGGCCAGGGCGAGGAAACCATTTTTAAATACCTGCAAGGAAATGCACTTTCCATGCATTCTTCCTGATGTACTTAAGGCAGATATTAATGCATTCATTTTGCATAGAATAATACAGATCAGATTGGGTAAATGCCTCTTTCAACCTTACACAGCTAGCAAGTGGTGAGTTTGGCTCTTCAGACTCTTTATCTTGTTCTGTTCACACTATATTATGTTGCTCCTCAAAATTTACCTGACATTGATAAACTGATAATGCTAATGTTAGATGCGTTACAGCAGCACACTACATACTGCTTATAAAACGTACAAAATGAAATTAGCATCATTTTAAGTACTCAAAATGGATTTTTTTGTTTGTTATTATATGAAACTTTAAATTTCAATATTTATAATTTCTCATTTTTAACAAACTTATTTTTACTCTTAAAGATTCTCAAGCCCTGGCCGGTTTGGCTCAGCGGTTAGAGCATCCGCCTGCGGTCCTGAGAGACCCGGGTTCGGTTCCCGCTAAGGGCATGTACCTCGGTTGCAGTTTGTCCCCGGCCCTGGGTGGTCGTGCAGGTGGCAGCCACTCGATGTGTCCCTTTCACGTCGATGTTTCCCTCTCTCTTTCTCTTCCTCTCTCTCCCTCCCACTCTGCGCAAAAAATGGAAAAATATCCTCGGGTGAGGATAAAATAAATAAATAAATAAAGATTCTCAATGCACAACTCATATGTAATATAAAGTAAAACCTATTTAATGACTTAATTTTATGTGGTCTGTGTGTTGTAACAAATTTAAAATGTTCAGTGCTTAAATAGTCACGTTTATGTAGGATTTAATTGTCCTGGAGAAAGTGGAGCAATGGAGGAGGGAAACTTTTTGACAGTGTAAGACACCGGGTAAGGACAAGCCTGATTTGGGCATTAGTAGCACTGGTGTGGTAGTAGGGAGGGAGAGAATCAAAACAGAAAACTGAAGGTATCAGTTTTCTGGAGTTCCCTGCTTCTAAGTATGACTTTGAAGTTACCTCTGTTGCTTATTGCTTAGGTGTGTTTGGGATTAGCGACACACAGTGAAGTGACAAATGAAGGTAGGAGTTCCATATATAAAAATTGTTTTGCTCAGTACTATAGAGATCTCAATAAATAAATAAATAAATAAGCAAATAAAATCACCATTTGGGAATGTTGATAAACTTTCACTTTGGAAGCTATCGAGATGGGCATTTGGCTGGGTTTCTTATTTTTTTTTTTTTTTGTTAGAAAGAAAGAAACACCTCTTTGACTTGTGGTGTTTTTCAGTTTTCTTACTTATTACCAGTTTGATGAGACTGTATCATTTGATTTTTTTGTGATTCATTACCTTCACAGTTCTATTTTAAATGATTATATACATTTAAATGGATATTTTATAATGTTATTTTTTAATAATTCTCTAAAGGGATATAATAAAATATAGTTATACATTTTTAAAGTTTTTAATAGTCATATTTTTTAACAAAATAAGGAGCCATACATTTCAATCATGCTATTTCCCAGGTTTGTTAGGAGGGAAACTTGAGGGAAAAATATATTTATGGATGTTATTTGCCTTTTAATTAATATGCAGTATAAGCATAATTTGGAACATTGTCTTTCAGAACTTAAGGAAGGGAAGAGGAAGGGAACTAACATTTGCTGAATGCCTACCATGTGCCAGGCACTGTGCTAGACACTTTGACATACATTACAGGGTTTGTTGTGAGTATTAAATGAGATAATGTATCCCCATTTTACAGATGAGGAAACTGAACTTGCCCCAAGTCACATGGCTGGTAAGTGGCAGAGCTGCACTAGAACCCAGACTTCAAATTCCATGCTTTTTCTTCTGTACTGTATTTAAAGCTTGCACAGAGAGGTATGAAGTTAATGACCAGAATTGAGAATTCTAGGAATTTTCTATTCCCATGAAATATTTGATACCAAACATAAAACTTTTTTTTTTTTCCATGTCAGGAGTTAGATGGTTGGAAACACTATAAGTAGAACTCCTCTGCTTCTAAAATGCCAGTTTAGATGACTAGTATCTAAGGGAAGACTTAGGAAATAATGCCTTTTATTAAAAAAGGCCAGTTGGAATAAATACGTAGCATCTTTAAAAGAGGCTTTCCATGTCTTAGTGTTAAAGACTTAGCTATAATAATAGTCTTATAAGACTGCTTATTTGAAACATTCCAGATGACAGTGGGCTTATGCAAAAACCCTGGGAAGTTCAAAATTTACTTCATAATGCACAGGTAAACTCACCAATCACCCATTATATGCCAAGTACTATGTTGGATTCTAGGGATGTTAAGGTATAAAAGGTACTTTGACTTATCCAAAGCTTTTGCTGCCTTAGAATAAAATTAAATTAGTGTATCTTTTAAATTTTTTTCCTTCCATCATGAGTTTAAATTTCCCACTGATGACCTATTTATTTTCAGAAATAATTTATACAATGAAATTTTAGAATAAAAAATAAGCCCTTTTAGGGTACAGGGATAAGAACATGCCAACAAAGAATGTAGGGTGGTTCTGTGAACTGTGATGCTAGGTATTTCATCTGCTTTAAAATTACCACTGAGCCCTGGCCGGTTTGGCTCAGCGGTTAGAGCGTCGGCCTGCGGTCCGGAGAGACCCGGGTTCGGTTCCCGCTAAGGGCGCGTACTTCGGTTGCAGTTTGTCCCCGGCCCTGGTTGGTCGTGCGGGTGGCAGCCACTTGATGTGTCCCTTCACGTTGATGTTTCTCTCTCTCTCTCCCTTCCTCTCTCTCCCTCCCACTCTATCTGTACAAAAATATCCTCGGGTGAGGATTAAAAAAAAAAAAAAAATTACCACTGAATTTATAATATTGGAAATAGAAGCTAATTTTTGTATAAAAACTTTTTTATAACTTGTTTCAATAACAGTACTTTTTGACATTTGTATTTTTTTTAAAACAAGAGTTTTTCTTTGCCCGTATCTTTTTAATGCGTTTACTAATAAGATTATATTTGAATATATGGAATTTATCCATTGATATTTATTCAGTGACTATTAGAAGTATACCATGATCAGAAATATATACTAATTCCTGCTAATTTATACTAATTCATATTTCTGGCTTGAACCCATGAGCTGCAATCTGATTTTTGTTGAAGGATATAAAATGAATATTTAGTATGTCTGAAAAATCATGATTAAACCAGTTAGCTAACATCTGAGAATGAATACATTTAAATATATCATCTTTTTAAGGCAGGATAGTAAGAAGCTAGGAAAATTCCTTGTCAAGTAGAAGGGGAAAACTGAGAGAGACAGCTGAACAAACTGGCTGAGCAACTTATAGCAGATATAGAAGGTCACCTCCCTAGAGATAACATCTAGGCCTCAGTTATATTCCACCTCCAGACCCAGAAAAGCAGCAAAACCAGGTGGGCGATGCCAGGACCAGCTGCAATGGCTAATGATGCCCTGCCTTGGCATTGACTAATCAGTAGAGACCATGATCCTGAAAAAGCACACCTGGAAAGCTGATGAATATTCTGCCAAAACCCTTCCCTGAGACTCTCCTCCCTTAAGATTCCCACCCTTGAGACAAAGGACCCAGCACGCTCCCACACATGTGCCTTTCCCTTCCTCCTCTTCTTCCCTCACAAGCACGCATCTCCTAAACACCAGACTTGCAACTAAGGGAGCAATGGGCAGTGGCAGCTTGGCCAGGCTAATCCCTTGAACCTGTCTCCTAGGTCCCCCCCCCTTTTTTTTGACTTCCCAGTGAGCTAAAGCAGCCTTGCTTAGCTCTCTCCTGTTACTTCTATCCCAGGCTCTCCCTTGTTTCACTGTCCCCAGCTTTAATAAAGGTCCCCTCAATCATCTGGACTTCTGTTGTAAAATCTTTTCTGTATGAAGTCAAGAACCCATCCACTACCTGCTGGCCCCAGGCAGACCTACTCAGGGCCAGGTCCCCTTTCTGATAACACTTTCCAACTTACCATTTTAGAGTATTTTTTCTAAACTGTTGCTCAAAATGTTTTAAGAATGCTGCCTTTGGAATTGCCATTATCCTTCACAGTGCCAAATTTGGTCTTTTGAAGGTGGCTTCAGCTTTTGCAAACAGGCAAAATGTCGAACATTTCTGGTTCTAAGACCAATGAATGAACTTTCTTTTTCATCTGTGAAGTATCCCTGCCTTCCCTTTTTCATTTTTTAAAAACAAATACTCTTAAACTAACTTTTGTATATTGTATAAACATCCTGCTCTAAGTACAGAAAAAAGCAGATATATACAAAACGAGAAAGAATAATGAACCTCTCTGTACCTTTGTACTAATTTTACTGCATTTATTTGTGAGTAATTTGGCAAGAACAACCCTAGACCAAGGTCCACATCCATGCTGCCTTCAAATGTCAGCATGATGACATGTAAACTTCCCCTTCGTCACTGCTATTGTTCCCATTTTAGAAAGACTTTGTAAGCTCCAGCTGTTCCATTGTTTCAGCCTTTATTATCCCATAACCTTCTTCCCTAATGTGGATAAAGAGAACAGAGAAGAGAACTGTTATTCTATGCATCAGTCTTGATTTAAATACATTTTTAAAATCTTTAGTAAGTTAGCCCTGGCCGGTTTGGCTCAGCGGTTAGAGCGTTGACCTGCGGTCCAGAGAGACCCGGGTTCGGTTCCCGCTAAGGGCATGTACCTCTGTTGCAGTTTGTCCGCGGCCCTGGTTGGGTTGTCGATGTTTCTCTCTCTCTCTCTCTCTCTCTCCCCCTCCCACTCTATCTGAACAAAATATCGAAAAAATGTCCTCGAGTGAGGATCAAAATAAATAAATAAATAAATAAATAAATCTTTAGTAAGTTAATAGTTTATAACTGACTTTAAAATTCTCTTGAATTATTTCAAAGCTATAAAATTTTCTGGCATATAATGAGACATCTGTGTATGTAGTATTTTAAATTGTCACAAAAACAAATGTAGGATTTTCCCCAAGTTGGTTATTGTTATTATGTTTATCACAGTTACTACTTATTATCATTGTTTCTTAAATTATATATAGAAGGGATAAGCAGTACAACCTTATAAATGGTATTTTTATTAATCTTATGAAGGCCTCTGATTTTCCCCCAAAGCCATATTTTTTTATTTTATTCTTTCATCTAGTTCTTAAGCCCAGGGGGGATAAAAACCTGCCATTTACCCAAAAAATAAACACAGAGATTAATTTTGATTAACTTCTTAATCTACTTGGCTATTTTCAGTGATAATATTCTATTTACTTGAAAAAAAAAATTAGTCTCCCTTTTGAGTAAAATATTAGTTCTTTATGTGTATAATACATTTTGATAAAATATGGAAGCGATGTATTTCATATTTTGATTAGCATTTGGTTCAGACCAATTTTTATAGGATTTAATAACTTTTTAAACCCATTTTCTTGCATTGGGTTCTAAGACAGCATATATTTTGTCATATCTCATCAGAATGTCACATGAACTCTGGACTGCGTGTTCTCAAAGTTGAAATGGTGGTAGGAATGTTTTATCACTTCGATCCATATGTCTTAAAAAAGCTGTTTACTGCAGTAGATACATACATTTTGAATATAAATGAAGACATTTTGAAGATTTTAGTATTCAATCTGAATACTAAATATATACTAAGTCTATGATTATAACTATGATTATGCTATAATTAGAAAATATTTTTTAAAAAATGATAAATTTTTTTAAATGATAAAATTATTATTCCAAGAAACCTAAGACAGACAAAAATTATCATTCCTCAGAGAAACCAGTTTTAAGTTGAACTTTGCTGTTTTGTTTTTTGCTTCTAAATGAATATACAGTATACTAGTATTTTCCTTCCGGTACTTCAGTCATCTGGTAATAGGACTTGCACTTAAAGACACTAGGTAGGGTATAGGACTATTTAACTGGATGGAAATGTTCTGCATAATTAAAATTTTCACAGCGGTGTGCTAGAGCCAGCTCCCACTGATTTACTAGAGCTGATTGTTAAATTTTCAGGATTTTTGTGAGCTGGTTGATAAACTAGCTATTAAAAATGTAAATATATAATTTACAGGTTACTTGAATCATTAATACTCAACTTTTATCATTTATAATTTTGTATCTATGCTCTTACAGTTATTTACACCTATTTTATCTGTATGGTGTGCTACTTACTGTGTGTGTATGTCTTCTCAACTCTACATTCAGTGAAGTCACATTGGTAGCTTGAAATTGGCCATGGTGCAACTATTTACATCATGGGAATCAACATGCTACATACAGATAAGGGCTTTTCCCCCAGAGAGCTGGTTGTTAAACATTTATCAGTGCACCACTGATTTTAGGCTCAACAAACTCTCAGTTGAAGAGCCTATCTGCTTTTAGCCTTTGATAAAAACGTATCTAAAATGCATTTGGGCATTTTTCTACTTTAAATATGTAGAGCATGCCAAATATCATTTTTACAAGTGCTGAAGAAGATCTTTGATACTTATAATTTTTGTAATCCTCAGAATAATCATCTTAAACATTAGCAAGATCACCTCTTATGACATGTAAAAAGAAGTATGTAATTTCCAGGTCAATTTTTTATAAAATATCAAGTTCTAAATTATAAGCATGTAATATTTCATTGCAGCTGCCACTGGTGACATGCCAACTTACCAGATCCGAGCTCCTACTACTGCTTTGCCACAAGGAGTAGTGATGGCCGCCTCACCAGGAAGTTTGCACAGCCACCAGCAACTTGCAGAAGAAGCTACACGCAAACGAGAGCTGCGGCTAATGAAAAACAGGTAAGATGGTTCACTAGAAATCAGCAACCACTTATAGGACATATAATCTGTTACTGTGGACTTTAAAAAAAATATATTTTGCCTAAGCTATTTCTCCCAAGTTCAGTGGTAAGTGGCATTTTATGTGGGTTTGTGCTCTGCATGTGATACTAGATTATCTGCTAGTCAGAGTTCCTAACCATGAAACTCTTCCATCAGCAGGAGGTACGTACATACTAATGTGTTAGAAAGGTAATATCTAAAATTTTTAAATTATGATGGGAGGACTTTACTACAAATAAAATTTTATTTTGTACTTGGTATTTACTTTGTGAAGTTAGGTTATAAGTAATTTTCTAGCTGCTTGATGAGCAAAATAAATTTGTGAGTTAAAAATTTAAGTTTTGTACATGTTTCATTTTATTTTGTAACGTTGTTTTTTCTAGATTGTACTGAAATACATCTTTATTCTGATAAATTCTAGTTAAGTGAAAATACAAAACAACAGAAAAAATTAAAATTACCCATAGCCCCATCACTTAGAAATATCTACTAATATTATACATTTCCAGCCTGCTCTCTCCCATTTTCTCTGATTCTTGTACCCTATCTCTGTAATTTTATTATTTTCAAAAGCAGTATATCATACAATTGTTCTTTTCTAAAATTCTTTTTTAAATCTAGTTTGCATATTTCTTGGTTTAGTTTTTATTATGGAAAAGAGTACAAATTAATCTGATTTTCAAAATGAACAGAATAAGAAATAGTATGTTTTCTAGTAGTCTTGTCATCTAATTTCTAAGTTTTAAATACGTAATGTCCTCATTGTAAGAAAACAGAACATTTCAGGTGGAATCATGTGTTTGCCTATGATCAGGACCACATCGTAGTAGTTAATTTACTAGGTATTAGCAAACTAGTTAACGTAGAAATTGTGGCTTCAGAGCTTCTCAAATCCAGAAATAACTGCTGAGTTTATCACTGTCCTTTGTAACTGAGTATGAAGCAGTAGCAACTATACTGTTTTATTTTATATTATTTTTTGCATTTTAGGGAATTTTTAAAAATTAATTTATTTTTGTTACAGATGTTTTTCCTTTTTCCTGCACTGACACCCTCCTCCCGATCGCCCCCATCCCGTGCAGCATTGTTGTCTATGTCCATTGGTTACGCATACATGGATATAAGTTCTGTGGTTTATCTCTTCCCTCTGCCCCTTCCCCTTTCTCTAAGGTTTGTAAATCTGTACCCCACTTTCATGTCTCAGGGTCTGTTTTGTTCATTGCTTGTACTGTTCATTATATTCCACAAATAAGTGAGATCATGTGATATTTGTCTTACTCTGATTGACTTACTTCGCTTAGCATTATACTCTCCAGGACCCTCTATGTCATCTCAAAGGATAAGAGAGCTTTATTTCTTACAGCTGCATAGTAAGTATTCCATTGTGTATTTATACCACAGCTTTTTAAAAAATATTTAAGTTTTATTTTATTTGTACTTTTTTCTTTCTTTTTTATTGTGGGTTTTTTTTTTTATTAATTTATTTTTGTTACAGATGTTTCTCCTTTTTCCCCATTGATACCCTCCTCCCCATGCCCCCCATCGTGTCCCCAGCTTTGTTGTCCTTGTCCATGTCCATCGGTTATGAGTACATGCATATAAGTTCTGTGGTTTATCTCTCCCCCCCCCCCCACCTCTGACGGTTGTCAGTCTGTACCCTACTTCCACATCTCTGGGTCTACCATGTTCCTCAGACTGTTATGTTCATTATATTCCACAAATAAGTGAGATCATGTGATATTTGTTTATTTCTGCTTGGCTTGTTTTGCTTAGGATAATACTCTCCAGGTCCCTCTATGTCGTCTCAAAGGATAAGAGATCTTTCTTTCTTACAGCTGCATAGTACTCCATTGTGTATACGTACCATTGCTTTTTTATCCATTCGTCTACTGATGGACATTTGGGCTGTTTCCAGATCTTAGGTATTGTAAATAGTGCTGCTACGAACATGGGGGTACATATATTCTTTCTGATTGGTGTTTCAGGCTTCTTAGGGTATCTTCCTAGAAGTCAGATAAATGGGTCAAATGGCAATTCAATTTTTAACTTTTTGAGATAACACCGTATTGTTTTCCATAGTGGCTGCACCAGTCTGCATTCCCACCAGCAGTGTACTAGAGTCCCCTTTTCTCCACACCCTCGCCAACACTAGTTGTTTGATGTTTTGTTGATGGTGGCCATTCTGATAGGTGAGGTGATACCTCATTTTTTATTTAATTTGCATCTCATTGATGATTAATGATGTTGAGTATTTCTTCATATGTCTCTTCGACATTTGGAGAGGTGTCTAGTTCCTCTGCCCATTTTTAATTGGATTGTTAGTCTTCCTTTTGTTGAGTTGTATGGGCACTCTATATATTTTGGAAATTAACCTCCTATCTGATGTGTCACTGAAAATTATGCTCTCCCATACAGTGGGCTCCCTTTCCATTTTGATGATTATTTCTTTCTTTTTTTTTTATCCTCACCTGAGAACATTTTTCCATTTTTGTTAAGATAGAGTGGGAGGGAGAGAGAGAGAGAGAAACATCGATGCGAAAGGAACACACCGAGTGGCTGTTACCTGCACGACCAACCATAGTCGGAGACAAACTGCAACCAACGTACGCACCCTTAGCGGAAACCGAACCTGGGTCTCTCTGGACCGCAGGCCAACGCTCTAACCTCTGAGCCAAACTGGCCAGGGCTCTTTTTTTTTTTTAATTAATAAATTTATTTTTGTTACAGATGTTTCCTTTTCCCCCCATTGATTCCCCCACCTCCCCCCTCCCCGCCCTGTCTCCTGCTTTGTTGTTCATGTCCATTGTTCATGCATACATACATATAAGTTCTGTGGTTTATCTCTCCCCCCCAACCCACTCTTCTGGGGATTGTCAGTCTATATCCCACTTCCACATCTCTGGGACTACCCCATTCCTCAGACTGTTATGTTCATTATATTCCACAAATAAGTGAGATCATATAATACTTGTCTTTCTATGCTTGGCTTGTTTCACTTAGGATTATACTTTCCAGTCCCTCCATGTAGTCTCAAAGGATAAGAGATCTTTCTTTTTTACACCTGCATAGTATTCCATTGTGTACATGTACAACAGCTTTTTATCCACTCATCTACGAACACTTGGGTTGTTTTCAGATCTCAGCTGTTGTAAATAGTGCTGCTATGAGCATAGAGGTACATATATTCTTTCTGATTGGTGTTTCAGGCTTCTTAGGGTATATTCCTAGAAGTGGGATCACTGGGTCAAATGGCAGTTCAATTTTTAATATTTTGAGGTAACACCATATTGTTTTTCATAGTGGCTGCACCAGTCTGCATTCCCACCAGCAGTGTACTAGAGTCCCCTTTTCTCCACACCCTCGCCAACACTTGTTTGATGATTTATTGAAGGTGGCCATTCTGCCAGGTTTGAGGTGATACCTCATTGTTGTTTTAATTCGCATCTCTCTGATGATTAATGATGTTTAGCATTTCTTTATATGTCTCTCAGCCATTTGTATGTCCTGTTTGGAGAAGTGTCTATTTAATTCCTCTGCCCATTTTTAAATTGGGTTCTTTGTCTTTCTTTTGTTGAGTTCTATGAGCACTCTATATATTTTGGAAATTAACCCCTTATCTGATGTATCATTGGCAATTCTGCTCTCCCATAGTGGGTTGCCTTTCCATTTTGGTGGTTGTTTCTTTTGCTGTGAAGAAGCTTTTTTTTTTTTCCCCTCACCCAAGAACATTTTTCCATTTTTTGTTCAGATACAGTGGGAGGGAGAGAGAGGAAGAGAGAGAGAGAGAGAAACATCGACTTGAAAGGGACACATTGAGTGGCTGCCACCCGCACGACCAACCAGGGCCGGGAACAAACCACAGCCGAAGCATGCACCCTTAGCGGGAACTGAACCTGGGTCTCTCTAGACTGCAGGCCGATGGTCTAACCGCTGAATCAACCGGCCAGGGCTGTGCAGAAGCTTTTGACTTTGATGTAGTCCTATGTGTTCATTTTGTCCTTTGTTTTTGTTGCCTTAGGTGATGTATTAGTGAAAATTCTGCTGCGTATAATGTCTGAAATTTTGTTTCCTACATTTTCTTCTAAGATTTTTATGGATTCATGAGTCACATTTAAGTCTTTTATCCATTTTGAGTTTATTCCTGTGTATGGTGTAAGTTGGTGGTCTAGTTTCATTTTTTTGCATGTAGCTGTCCAATTTTTCCAACACCTTTTATTAAAGAGGCTGTCTTTACTCCATTGTATGCTCTTGCCACCTTTGACAAATATTAATTGAGCATAATGTCTTGGGTTCATTTCTGTGTTCTCTGTTCTGTTCCACTAGTCTATATGCCTGTTCTTGTGCCAGTACCAGGCTGTTTTGATTATAGTAGCTCTGTAGTATCACCTGATATCTGGTATTGTGATCCCACCTACTGTGTCCTTCTTTTTCAAGCTCGCTGTGGCTATTCGGGGTCTTTTTTGGTTCCATATGAACTTTTGAAGTATTTATTCTAGTTCTGTGAAATATGTCATTGGTATTCTGATGGGGATTGCATGGAATCTATAGATTGCTTTGGGTAGTATGAACATTTTAATGATGTTAATTCTTCCAATCTATGAACAAGTTATGTGCTTCCACTTTTCAATATCTTTCTCTATTTCTTTTTTTCAGTGTCCTTTAGATTACTGCAAATAGGTCCTTTTCTTCTTTGGTTAGGTTTATTCCTAGGTATCTTAATTTTTTTTTCGCGATGGTAAATGGGATTGTGTTTTTAGTTTCTCTTTCTGTGCATTCATCATTGGTGTATAAGAATGCCATTGATTTCTTGACGTTAATTTTGTATCCTGCTAGTGTGCTAAATTCATTTCTTAAGTAAATTAGATATCTGATGGAGTCTTTAGGGTTTTCTACCTATAATATCATGTCATCTGCGAATAATGAGTTTCACTTCCTCCTTTCCAGTTTGGATCCCTTTT